AATACCGGCAACTATTTTTTTAATATTTTAGTTTTCGGTAATTTTTAATAAAAATATGGTCAATTCTACAACAAAATCTCCAAAAATCAGAGTTCCAAACGTTGTGCAAAATTTAAGAAAATTCTGCAAAATTTCATTAAAATAATTCACTTTCTATTTACGCTCTCTAGAAAAAGTTTTTTAGCCCATTCAATTTTAGTATAATAAAGTGATCTATTATTTTTATTGGCCAAATAATAGACATAAGATTATCATTATGAGAAATGTAAACATAACAAAACTGTCAAAGCTAAACTTCAAAATGGGGGGGATTGCCAGATGAATGTACGTAACCAATAGTTATTCAAGACACGAACGATTATATCAGTATAGACACGAATTGACATGGCCACTATGAAAACGCCCACACTGACATACGATAAAAGAATCGGTGGTCACATACCACCAGACTAGAAAAATATATTTCTTTTTGGAATTGGACTCGGAGCGAACCACACTCATCAGCCCTCGCAAGAACTGAATTACAACCAAGTAATTAAAGTGGATTAAAAGCTGGTATTAAAAGCTGGCGGCATTCGGGGAGTCGATACTCACCCCTCAGTGGAAATTAATAGAGGCAAAAGGTGCCGTCACATTCCTTCCGGCAAATCCCCAGCCATGTTGTTGCGTAGATTAAAGAAGTTGTGAGCATCAAATCGGGACTATTCATTTGACAGCAATTGAGTCACCATAAGCCGGTAATACAAAATCATTACACGTAAGTCAGCCACTTTCTTGCCATCATCCATTGGAAACGAGCTATCCATCAACCATAAATAAAGATTCCTGTTTGGACCGTCAAACCAAGGTCAAGCAAATCAGAAGTGCAAGTGTGAGGAAGCTAGGACTTACCAAACAACAAAAAAAAAATTGCTAAATATCAATGGTAAGTCCTAGCTACCTCAAACTTGCACTTTGTTATACTAAAATTGAATGGGCTAATAACTGAGTACTTAACTTTTTTCTAAAGAGTGTAAATTGCAATACTTGGATGGAAATTCGCAGAGTTTTCTTTAATTTTGCATAAGGTTTGGAACTCTGATTTATGGGGTTTTTGGTGTAGAATTAACCATATTTTCATAAAAAATTAGGGAAAAATAAAATATTTAATAAATAGTTGCCGGTATTGTAAAAACTTCACTGTACCTAAACTTTATTGACTGACTGTATATCTTATTTAAGTTAAGTACGACAAAAACTTTCGAAGTACTTCATATACATATAAGCTTAAAAAGAACGGAATTTACTTAGAAACCAATATGCTTAAATTTAGACAAGTAAGACAAAGTGAACTAATATTTTTACTTTTAAGCAGAACGCACTTTTGTTTTTTATTTACTACTTAAGTTTAATACTACTACTACTACTAATGTGGTTTATAAATTTTTAATAAATGCGTTTAAACATTTGTGATTGTATTGTCCTTCCTTCAACCGATCGTATTTAATATAGAAGGGAAATGTTTCGACAAGCATGATTAGAAATGTATATCTAAGTTGACGAATTTATAACAGGTTGGGAACTGCATATAAAAAATGGATACAGATCGAACTAGATCTCATCTGTCGAATTAGGAACTGGTTTGGAACTAAAGAAAAGGGGATGCAGAACGAACTAGATCTCATCTGTCGAATTTGGAACTGGTTCGGAACTATCGAAAAAGGGATGCAAAACGAACTAGATCTTATCTGTCGAATTTAGAACTGGTTCGGAACTAGAGCCAAAGGGATGCAACGGGGGACAATTGACACTTCCTAGAACATCGCAATGTTAAATTCGCCAGTCGCTAGCATGCAAAAGAGAATTAACGCGCACTAGTCATGGTTCCAAACGCACTAGAACCGAACCAGTTCCGCACTAGTTCGTTTCCCCACAGGGCTACTCTTCTTTTTGAAGTCGGTTAGAAAACCAAGCAACCGGCTGACTCAGTGGAGACGGCGGGGTTGCTAGTGGGCAAACAATAAGACGAGGCAATACAATAAAGCGATCGAAATTATTATATGGGACAACAACAATTACACGTAGAATGGCACCAACTATTGATAAGTAACCAACTATGTGCCAGACAAATGTGAACACAAGGGTGAGCCCAAAATTATGAGACAAGCACTAAGTATTTAAATACGTACAAAAATATTTAAAAGACAAAACAATAAAACAATAAAAATAATAAGCAACAATAATGCAAACAACAACCTTGTTTGCTTGGTGAACCCGACGTGAGGTCCCACCAGAAGGTTACAAACCCACACGCAATACCTTCCAATCTGCTGGGGGTAACCTTAACCCGCCAAGTGACTGGGCTCTGGTTGCGGAACGCTAGAAGTGCGGGAAACGAGATTATGACTTTTAACTTTCCCTCCCCAATCCCAATAGGTTTTCTTTAACAACTGTGGCCATGACTTTTTTCCACCTGTCTCTATATATTCGAAACACTGTGTCCTGTATCGGAAACGTCGTAGGTTTCTTAACGCACTAGTGCAGATACCGGCGGTTAGTAGCAGTGCGCCCGCCGTCACTTCAATTGAAGCTTTTCACTTCATTACTTCATTTTACTTCGTTTTAATACACTTTCCACAAATTAGTTTTATCTTCAAAATACATAAAAATTACTTTGAAATATATGATTTATTTCACCAAAATCAACAATCTTTGCTAAAATTTTTGTTAAGTAGAAGGTATGGCAAAGTAAGCTTTCGCAAAAAGCTACTAAAAAGAGGCCTAATAAATCTCCTATCTGGCATCGGTTATTTGGAAGAAGTGGTTTTGATTGTCATTTTCACATGAATATGAATGGGTGGATAAAGTTTCATAATTATTTAGTAAATATTTGACGAAAATAACAATTATATTTTAATTGTCATACATCTTCAATTTTATAGCAAAAATGATACATTGAAGTGAATCTCGTGATGACTTTGTTGCTTTGTACCAATAATCGATTAATTATGTTTCAGTTTTAATATCATCAGTGAATTGTAATTTTTGATTTTCTTTCCTCAACGTTTGGGACGTGTGATTTTAAAGTTTTTCCAGCAGTAAATTTACACAGGAACACAACAAATTATAAATTAATAAAGGTTAAAGATTACTCCACACCCCTAATTGTGCATGAAAGTCGTCACTCCGAAACACTTCCCTTTCAGTGTGTTTTCACTTCGCTCGAAAATTAGCAAACGGCAGCGCTGGTTAGTAGCTTGAGGTTGTACATGCCAGCGGGCAGAAAACAAATGTCTCCATGCAGGGGCGCATCCAGGAATATATTTTGGGAGGGGTTCATACTTCTAAAGATATATCACCAGAAAAAACTGAATTCGCTTCATATAAAATGCTCGCCCAAGGGCTTTATTTCCGTAAAAAAAAAAAAGAAATAAGGCCCGCGGGCGTTATTGCCTTTTCGAAAAAGAAATTAAGCCCGCGGGTTTTATTGCCTTTTGACGGTGGGCAATACTTCCCTTTCGATATGGTAGTAACGCCAGCGGGCTTCATATTCTAAAAAATGAAATAAAGCCCGCGTGCGTTATTTCATCTTTATTGTGGCTCTTGTCTCCATTTTAGAATATGTACATTCAAAACCCCCTTTTCTAAATAAAAACTAACTAATATGATAACATTGAACTAAATATTTGTTTTCCTTTAGTATACGAACAAATTTAAATTAACACATTTCAATGCATATATTTAATACATATATATGTATGTATGTACATGTGTATGAAAATTAAATAATTCAAATTTTCAGCGAAAAAAGGAACATGAAAAAGTAAAAAGTTAAATAAATACTTTCGTCGATTGTCGAATAATTTGACGGCAAATGCTTGTATTACAATTTAGATTAGCACGCCTACTGTGCTCTGCAAAGCAATCTGTGCAAAGTTTAAAATGATTGGCCGAACTTCTCCTCTGATTGGCGGGCGGTGTGTGCCTTGATGTTACACAAACCACTCGACCACGGCTGATTTATGTTATTCTGTCCTGTACTCATTTTTGTTGTTACCGAAAATTTTCAGTCGCCTTCTCAGTTAAAACAACCCGTGCGTCATCCACATCACCACAGTATTTCGGCTGCGTGGGTACCCAAACAACCCCAACTCCTCATCTAACATTCATAACAGCATTAAGATAATCTAAGTACATAAACAAATAAATTTTCCGGCGTAATGGCGAGGGGGGAAAAGCGAGCTTCTTGGTGCTCAACCGCGGCGGTCCGGTAGAACGTTCAATTCTGAAGAAAACCCATCATTAACCATGATTCTATCATAAAATGCCTCTGAGCTATAGAATTTTGAAGAAAAACAATCAAAGTTTACGTGTATTTTATATGGGAAATCTTTGCACGCCTTGGGCGAGTACTTAATGTTAATATTCAGGGTTCAGATTTTCTGGGAGTTTGTCTTAGGTGTTTTCCATAAAATTTCAAAGTAGGAGTGAAAAAGACAATAGTCGCCAAAAAAACACCCTAGTACATATGTATGTACATACATACATATATACAAAGCCATGGCTACAAATGTTTATATGTGCATAAATACTTATGTACAGGTGTAAGCCCATATCTTAGGGCCAGTTGTTCAATGTCTGGTTATCACTACCACTACACTATCGACGATTTCGACATCATGCATGTAACATGTGATCGATAAAGCAGTAGTTGTGCTTAACCGGAGCTTCTACCTCCGATTTGTGCTAATCAGACATTGAACAACCGGCCCTTAGTGTTTTTGCTAGTAGTTATTGATAAACTAACGCAGCAGCCACCATAGCGCTTGTGTTTTTGTAAGTTCTTCATATGATAAGAGATCCTTAGATATGATTAGTAGGTAGGCCTACATGACGTGCGTATTCATAAGTAGTTGTGGGCTACAAAAGTCGTTAAACCAAGCAAAATCCGGTTAGTACTATACTTCCCATTGGAAACACAGCTACTTTCACTTTTTTTCTTCTACACATTAGAAATCATAATGGAACGTTGGCAAGGTTGTGTCGCTGTAGTTACTGGTGCTAGTTCAGGCATTGGCGCTGCCACAGTCAAAGATTTACTTAAAGCTAATCTCGTTGTGGTGGGACTTGCCCGCCGACTGCAGCGTATGGAAGAATATAAAGCTGAATTGCCAGCTGAACAACAGAAACGGTTCTATCCCTATACATGCGATGTAACATCACAGGAATCGGTTGATCAGGCATTCAATTGGATTATCAACGAATTGGATGGCGTTGATATATTGGTGAATAATGCCGGCANGCTAGTAGTTATTGATAAACTAACGCAGCAGCCACCATAGCGCTTGTGTTTTTGTAAGTTCTTCATATGATAAGAGATCCTTAGATATGATTAGTAGGTAGGCCTACATGACGTGCGTATTCATAAGTAGTTGTGGGCTACAAAAGTCGTTAAACCAAGCAAAATCCGGTTAGTACTATACTTCCCATTGGAAACACAGCTACTTTCACTTTTTTTCTTCTACACATTAGAAATCATAATGGAACGTTGGCAAGGTTGTGTCGCTGTAGTTACTGGTGCTAGTTCAGGCATTGGCGCTGCCACAGTCAAAGATTTACTTAAAGCTAATCTCGTTGTGGTGGGACTTGCCCGCCGACTGCAGCGTATGGAAGAATATAAAGCTGAATTGCCAGCTGAACAACAGAAACGGTTCCATCCCTATACATGCGATGTAACATCACAGGAATCGGTTGATCAAGCATTCAATTGGATTATCAAAGAATTGGATGGCGTTGATATATTGGTGAATAATGCCGGCGTTTTTAAAACGGGTCAAGCTGTTACTTTGGATCCTGTAGAGCTACAACAAGTTGTACAAACCAATATAATGGGTGTGGTTTATTGTACACAACGCGCTTTTAAATCGATGAAGGAACGCAATTTTGACGGACATGTGGTGAATATTAATAGCGTTGCGGGTCACTCGGTGCTACACTTGTCGGGCAATGCACCACCAGGTATGAATGTGTGTCCAGCCACTAAACATGCAGTAACCGCTATTACTGAGGTATATCGCCAGGAATTTAGAGGACTGAAGACAAACATTAAAATCACGGTGAGTATACAGAGAAGGGGCGAAAGATAAATTATCAAAGGTTTCAATTGTCTTTGCCAGTGAGACCAAATGATCCCAAAAAATAAAGGTTAGAAAGTTGAAGGTAGTGAACAGATAAGCTAAAAAAGTCAACACTTGTATGCGGAAAGATGGGGCTGAATAATATTATTTTCTAATTTTTAGTCCATTTATAAAAGCGTTGTTAACAAAAAGTTCATTTTATTTTTATTTTATTTTTTGTATGCAAGTTTTAGGCCTTCTAAATCGGCTTCTCTTAAAAGAGGAACATTTTCACAAAATATTGAATTCTGACGCAGGACCAACTTAACTTTGCTTTAGACACACCACAACATGCTTTCTCCAATCTTTATTAGACATCCGTTTCTTTGAAAAAATACCATCCCTCGCGCGGCCTCGTCTGCTTCCAAATTGCGGAGCGACTACTTTCGAGGATAAGGCACTTTTCTGGGTAGGAAAAAGCAAAAATGATAGGTGGATTTTTTTTTTTTTAATTTCTATAAAATCATATTTTGTCTCAAAGTACCAAACAGATGAAAATTACTTATAAAAAGGGTAGCATTAAAAAAGCTTGTAAAAAAAAACTAAAATAGTCACACTGGTCTTTGCATGTTATTTAATACATATTTATGTATGTGCATAAGACCGTACCACCTTACAAGCAAACAAAAAAGCTCGCCGGATACCCCTGAGTCTAAAGTAGGAATATTTGCAAGGCAATTTCGATTGGATCATCAAAGAATTGGGTGGTTTTGATATATTGGTGAATAATGCTGGCATCTTTAAAGTGGGTCAAGCCGTTAATTTGAATCCTGCAGTAATGCAACAAGTTGTACAAGCTTTCAAATCAATGAAAGAGCGTAAAGCCCAAAATACAATAACGCAGTGGCAGTTTTTCGAAATCAGCTGTTTTAGAAAGTGTGGTGTCCAATGAAGCGGCTCACAACACAGCAGTGGCAGCTGGCAGTACTGCTCAGTTTAGCCCAAATTCTAAATTCACTGCCACTGCCTACATCGCAGCAAACTTCGCATGCTGAATTTGACATATATAAAATGCAGCCAACTTCTGTTCATGTCACTGAAGCCTAAAAGACAACAACAAAAATGTAAACAAACAAAAGGGAATGCCAAAAAAAAAGCTGTCACTGACAAAGCCGTATTGTATTTGGTGCGGCAGTGATTGCCAATATTAGCAGTAAAAGCTGATTTTAAAGTGTCACTGTCACTGCCACTGCGCTATTGTATTTTGGCCTTAATTTTGATGGACATGTGGTGATCGTCAATAGCGCTTTGGGTCACTCGGTGCCACATTGGCCGTTTGATGAAGCGCCAATTATGAATGTGTATGCGCCGACTAAGTATGCACTAACCGCTATTACTGAGATATATCGGCATGAGTTTAGAGGATTGGAGACAAAAATCAAAATAACTGTGAGTATTAAATAAAACGACAACAAACATGGTGAACTGTTAAATTTTTAGCGTTTACTGGTAGATTGGTATTTGTTGTTATTCAATACAATTATGATATACGCTTTGCAAAACTGATAAGATAATTGTGGCCTTTTTAAGCGTAAGCATACATATTTATGTGCATTCATATATACGTATGTACACTAGAAGCCACCACCTTACAAGCAAAAAATAAAAGTGCGCCGTACGACCCTAAGTCTAAAGTATTTTTCTAACGCAATTTCGGTAGATTTTTTTTTTTAGCAGAACCTAGCGGTCACCTTTTTAATTTTTCTGTAACACCTATGTATATTCGACAAGAAAGTTTTTTTTAATAGTACTAAGTACTAAAATAATCGAAATACTTCCTGATATTATATTAGCAAAAGTTAAAGAATTTTTGGTAAGCATTAATTTACTGACATTAGAGTGGTACGTTAGAGTGATAAGAACTAACATCTGGCGGTTAAGTACTAGAACGGGGGTACTTTGGAAGAAAAGAAATTGTCTCCTCAACACAAGAACATCGATATATCATACTTTATGATCCGACTGTAAATGCCGACGATATGACGAAAAAAAGCAAAAATGATAGGTGGATTTCGTTTTCTAACGCAATTTCGGTAGATCAACATTACCTTTGATGAATGCTTAAGATTCGAACGTGCACGGCGGACGAGTTTTTTTCTGGTACGCTCTAATGCACATATCTGTANCGACGATATGACGAAAAATGTAAAAAGGCGACCCCTACGTTCGGCCAAAAAGAAATAAAACTTTTTTCAACATTACCTTTGATGAATGCTTAAGATTCGAACGTGCACGGCGGACGAGTTTTTTTCTGGTACGCTCTAATGCACATATCTGTATGCAATTTTTTTTGATCCATAAAATCGGCCAAGAAAATTTTTTTTTTTTTGTAATTGCGAAAATTCTTTAGACTCAGGGGGGGACGGATAATATCTTTTTCTGATATATCTGGATATGTACATAAATAAGTAGATAGAAATAAAATATATCCAGCCCTTATCCCGCAAAAAAACGTAAGCGACATTTTTTTTAAATTTTTTTTTGTTGCAGAACTACTCCTGAAAGGTCCAGATGTAGAAATATCAAAAAGAAAATTTTGAAAAAATGTCGCTTACGTTTTTTTGCGGTTACGGCTTGGATATGTACGTCGGTTATGGCTGTTATGCGGCACATTTGATAAGATAACTATGTCCCCATCTAGGATACATATCATACATACATATGTTCATAATTACATACTTATATTAATTGATTAATTTTTATTTTAGAGCGTTAGCCCCGGTTTGGTCGATACAGAACTCGTTCCGGAATACTATAAAAAATCCGCTCCACCAATTTTGAAGCCAAAAGACGTTTCTAGCTGCATTTTGTTCACCCTTTCGACACCGCCACACATGCAAGTCCATGAAATCACCGTAAAACCCTTATTGGGCGAGTAATTAAAAACTTTATAAACTAAATATATTTATGTAGACATACAACCATGTATGTATGTATGTAAATAATCGTACTAATCCTCGTTTGGATCATACAAGCTCGATAAATGAATTCACATACATATGTGTATATAAGTAGTAGATATGCATAGGAATACTCTATATAATGTTCAAATATAAAATGCAACCGAATTGTAATAAAATAAAAAATGCATTGTAAATGAGCTCATAAAAAATGTATTTATTTATAAACATCTTACTTCCGAAATGAAAACAAATATAATCAGCTGTTCTAGCAACACAGCTCGTTGGTATAGTTCCGGCCCATTTCTGACTTAATTCGGGCCTTTTTTGGGGTCTTTACGGGACCAGTTCGGGACTAATAATAATAATAGATTGGTGCTTCAACATATGTTATATAACGTTTCCACGATTCGTAATTCGATCTCTTATTCGTAATTCGCCATCCATCTACCCTTCCAATTGCGTGATTCGCCAAACAAAATTTTGAGAGCGAGTTACCTCATTTGTAGGTAATTTCGATCGAATTGCCATGCGAATGACAAACGAATCGGGGGCTTCTCTAATATTTATAGGAAATATATCGAAATTTTCACCGGCCTGGTCCCATTTGCTGGTACTTATTCTAGTTGCTGGAAAATAAAATAATAACATATTCTCTATATAAATTAAAATCTTTGATGACAGCTTATCTTACTAATATTATAAATGTGAAAGTTTGTAGGTTTGGATGTTTGGGAAATCGGATTTGCATAAAATTTTGTACGCAGATAGCTTATGGGCCAGATTGGTTAATAGGCTATTTTTTTAAGAGTTGCCACCTGTTAAAAAGTTTAATTTATTTAATATGCGGGAACTACTGAACGGATTTGCCTAAAAATTTGCACAAAGATAGCTTATAATCTAGATTGGAAATTAGGCTACTTTTCTTAAGAGTTGCCACCTGTTAAAAAACTTTAGTGAAATTAACACGCGAAAACGACTGAACGGATTTGTTATATTGTATTATGTTATGTTATGTTATGTTCTGTTATCTTGTTTAACGCATTTCACCTCAACTCACTTCGATTAAATCAACTAACCGCAATTTAGCTCAGCTCAGCCCACCTCAACTTCATCGTTGCCGTTTTCACTCCGCTCGGAGCATTTCACTCCTTTTTTAAGCCGATCACTACGTCACTTCCTCTCTTGTAAAAACATTCCGATTTTGTGATTATCATAATTAAATATTTACTATGAAATATAAACGAATGCCCGTATATTAACCCCCCGATACCGTGCATTTGATAAATTGTCAAGCTTGACTATTTGTCAATAAATTTGCGCCTTAACTATGCTGGAAAAATGTAATTTTAGTAGGGTTGCCAGATTTTATGTACGCGAAATCAGTACCTTAGGATTTTTCATGCTATAAAAATTAGTACTTTTCAGTACACTTTTATTCAAAGCAAAATTATGAATGTAAGTAACAGAAAATTCTTACAAACGCCATATTTTACTTCTATTTAACAATATTTTGGTACAAAAATAAAGTATAGTTCACAAAAAATATAAATGTTATTCATTTTAACATGAGTGTACACATTGACATGTAGTAACGGGTGATTTTTTTGAGGTTAGGATTTTCATGCATTAGTATTTGACAGATCACGTGGGATTTCAGACATGGTGTCAAAGAGAAAGATGCTCAGTATGCTTTGACATTTCATCATGAATAGACTTACTAACGAGCAACGCTTGCAAATCATTGAATTTTATTACCAAAATCAGTGTTCGGTTCGAAATGTGTTTCGCGCTTTACGTCCGATTTATGGTCTACATAATCGACCAAGTGAGCAAACAATTAATGCGATTGTGACCAAGTTTCGCACTCAGTTTACT